AAAAAAAAAAAACAAAAAAAAAACCTCACTGCCATCAAGTCGGATCCAACTCATAACGACCTCTCCCTGAATTTCTGAGGTGGTATCTCTATGGAAGAAGATTGCCTGACCTTCCTTCTGAGGAGTAGCTGGTGGGTTTCAACCACCAGTCTTCTAGTTAGCATTCAAATGCCTTAGGCACTACGCCACCAGAGCTCCTGATCTTTCACACAGAACAGAGGAATTCCATATAACTGGGAAGAGGGAAAAATCTTATTTTTGCACTGATTTCATAATTCATTCAATAGAAAATAAGTCAAGTTAAGTACTCCACTAGATACTAGAATTTCAAAGAATGTAGTTCCTATTAACCTTCATTGTGAACAAATGAAGTGCTCTCATTTAAAAAAGTAAAAGTAGTAGATTCTATAATTTAATAATTCCCTATGTTTGGCATTAGGGACACAGAATGAATAAACTATTCTCCAAGGGCCCAATCTAAAGACAGATATGTTTTTCAATGTGGATGTTATAATACCATGATAAATTTAAACATTATCATATTTATTTCTTCTAGTTTTGTGACAGGATTGTCAGATTTTTCAGAATTTAGGAGCATTCTAAACAGAGAAGTTCCTTTATCTTAGAATAAACACTCCCTACCGACCCACACAAAAATTTCTCCTCTGTTATCAGCCTCATGATTCAGGACTCATCTCCCAGAACTCTCTATTTGGCTAATTGAATGAACTAGATCTGCCCTTCACAGGTTATTCTGATAGCATCTGGGAAACTTTCTAGAAAACATCTAACAAAGAGCATCAAAAGTCTTAGTTGGATCTAAAGTAAAACTGCCTCCTCTGCTTCAGCATAGGTTCTGTTGAACTAATTAAAACTCTATTAATTTTCTAATCCAGAAGTTCACTAAAACAAGTGCAATTCAGAGTGTCGCTATGGATTTTGTTTTTCACATACAGGTTTCTGATTGGGGTAAGGAACCACCTCTAGGAGAAAGAGCCCTAAAAGGATGGAAGAGTGTGTGTGTGTTCCTATCCTCCTGCCAGAGTTTCCTGAAGAAAATGGAAAGCAGATTGTGAAGGCATGCCAACTTGATGACTGGTGGAAAACTGTAATTTCGCTTAAAGTAGTAGGTGGCAATGGGGCTAGACTATGACTAAGAAAAGAGAATGGAAATGAGGAATATATAAAACTTGAAAAATTGGCAATTAAAGGCATAACCAGATAAGACAAAGGTTACTTAGGAATTGCTGCAGAAACATATGTAAATGAAAATACGTGTTAATATAAGAAGGCCATTAGTCTACTAAAGAAAAATTGAGAAATATCAGAAGCCTCGGGTGACCCCTCAAAATGGGAGATACTGTTGAAGACCCTGAAGTGACTTGAGCCTCACTAGGAAGCACTGTGGGACTTTGAGAGATTAGACATCATGGGATTCTGATTTCTGCATTATATTCATATCATATTTAATATGATTGTCAATAAAGTATTTTACGTATAATATTACAAGTTTAATTAATATAAAAATACATGTTTTAAAAACAAGTGTGCTTCATAAAGCCTATTAAGCTTTCTTATAAGGTATATTCTACCATGAGAATCTTATAGTTATTTCTTCTGTATACCAATGTTTCCTAAATAATACGCAGGTATGTAGCATAAAAACCACTTGAGTTAGTTAACTTCTCTAAATCTAATCTAAAAACAGAATAATAAATTGATTACAGTGTACTGCAGTCAAATTCAAAACCAAAAAGATTTACTTTGAATGAGATATTGAATGCACACTTTCATTTTTCTAATTGCATTTTTTTCTTGATATTAACATCCAAGTATAAAACATGCCATGATATATCACATGAAAATGGAAGAGGCAAACATGCACAAAAAGTAAGAAGAATCATGCACAAAAAAATAACAATAATCTTAGACCAGCAGGCCAAAAGTTACAACATTTTCTGTCATGGTGATTGAAATATTATTATCACTTAATAACCAAGTGCTTTCTCCACTGCACCAGCAGGGCTCTTTATATATATATATATATTATATATTATATATTATATAATATATATATATGCCTAAACCAGCCTTCTGGTTAGCTGGAGGTTCAAACCCACCAGCCACTCCTCAGAAGGAAGGCTGGGCAATCTACTTCTGTAGTACCACCTCGGAAACCCAAGGAGGGGTCGCTATGAATAGGATCCAACTCCACAGCAGTGAGTTTTTTTTTTTTTTTTTTAATACCTATATATATGACTATATCCCCCAAAATAAGGAGCTCTGGTGGCATTATGTGTAGGACATTTGACTGCTAAACAGGTCAGTGGCTCAAACCCATCAGCTGCTCTGCAGAGGGAAGATGAGGCAATCTACTTCTGTTAAGATTTAAAGCCTCAGAAACCTAATGGGTGTTGTTATGAGTCAGAACAGACTCAATGGCAGTAAGTTTGTCTTTTCATTTTGTTTTGTTTTATCCCAAAAAATAATGATTATATGATTAAGTCAATAATATATACATTTGATCTATTTTCAAAATGAGACAATAAACTCACATTAAAATCAACTGAATTTTCTTTACTTAATTTTTCATCTGAAAATGAATTTCTTGAAATGTTTTTAAAAATGCTGTCTTCATTTTGTACCAAGTTGTAAGTAGGTACCACACTTGGGCTCTAGCACATTATTTGGGAGAAAAATTAAAATAATTAATAATCTACTCTCAGTATAAGGTAGACTAGGGGTATCAGTTTGGGGTTTAAAGGACAGCTGCAGATTAGAATATACTTTTGTGAAAATCACCCAAACTCAGGTTTTAAGCTATGATAAGGCACTAGATTCAAGCTTCACAACAGAGTCAACGGTGCATAAGAATTTTGTGGATTTGCTCAGCTCTTGTTTGATTGCTTTAATAAAAATAACATTTTAGGTTTTACTTACTTTGGGGCCTTGTAGTCCTGGTTTTCCTGGTGGACATATACATGGAGCTGGAGTTGAGCTGACATCACTGGGACCATTTAGACACTAAACAGACAGACACAGAAATAAAAAAACAAATGTGAAAAGACCATGGAATCCCTGGGTAATGCAAACAGTTTAGTAGTGGATTACTAGCCTAAAGGTTGGCAGTTTGTACCCACTCAGTGGCACCTTGGAAGACAGCCCTAGTGATCTACTTTCAAAGTTCACAGCCTTGAAACCCCCATGAAGCTATTCTACTCTGCATGCAAGGGATTGCTATGAGTCAGAATCAACTCTACAACTACTAATAACAACATGTGTGCTGTTGTTGTTATATGCCGTCGAGTCAGCCCCAACTCATAGTGACCCCTCTTTGGGTTGCCAGGGCAGTATCACTATGGAAGTAGATTGCCCAACCTTTATTCCAAGGAGCGGCTGGTAGGTTTGAACTACCAGCCTTCTGGTTAGCAGTCAAGTGCCTTAGGCACTATGCTACCAGAGCTCCTAACAACATGTATAGAAAACAAAAATCCTAACAACTGGACCAATAAGCAACATCATGATAAATGATGAAAAGATTGATGCTGTCAAGGATTTCATTTTATTTAGATATGCAATCAATGCCCATGGCAGCAGCAGTCAGGAAATCAAATGACATTGCATTGGGCAAATCTGCTGCAAAAGACCACTTTAAACTGTTTAAGAAAAAGATATCACTTTGAAGACTAAGTTGCACCTGACCCAAACCATTGTCTTTTTCATAACCTCATATGCATGTGACAGCTGGACAATGAATGGGGAAGACCACAGAAGAATTGATGCATTTGAATTATGGAGCTGGTGAGGAATACTGAAAATACCACGGACCACCAAAAGAATGAACAAATCTCTCTCTTGGAAGAAGTACAGCCAGAAGCCTCCTTAGAAGCAAGAATGGTCAGACTTCATCTCTTATATTTTAGTCATATTATCGGGCAGGATGAGTCGCTGGAGAAGGACATCATATTTGGTAAAGTGGAAGATCAATGAAAAAGAGGAAGACTCTCACAGAGATGGATTGACCAAGTGTCTGTGACAATGGGCCCAAGCATGTAAGGATGGCACAGAACTGGGCAGTGTTTCCTTCTGTTGTACACAGGGTTTCTGTGAGTTGAAATGCATCTTATGACAACAACATTATGTATATATGAATGTATATATGAATGTATGCATGTCTGTACATTTATGTAAAATGAAAAATTTCACAATCACGTTTCAATATCATTTCATTCAATCTACTAAGAAATTCCAAGTTAAAAAATAAAATTTATGACTACTAAATGCCATTCAAGCTATATGTATATGGGTTCTATTTGTCTAATATACTTACAGTTGAAAGAATTTCTTCAACAATCCCACAATGTAATATTACCTGAAGGAGAATAATAGTATCCAAAGCCTACCTCTCCATTCTGGGGGGGAAAGAAAAGTGTTTTAAAATACATTTTTAATTAAAAATTTCAATTATCCTTCTAATTTACAGATATTACAGTCTAAGTTAGAGACACATTATATGCCAAAACTAGCAAGAGCTAAAAGATTAGCTTACATTTATCCTCAAAAATATGTATTTATACATAGTACTAGTACCTTCATAGTGGCATAAAGGAAGGATGTTAATTAAGCTTAAGAGTGCAAAGAGAAAATTAAAATATGCAAGCTGCTTGATATGATATCCATGTAAGAATAGGACTAAACTCAAGGTGTAATTTATATACTCTCTTCAATTTTCTAGAAATAATTCTGAAACCACCCAAAAAAGCTAAAATACTTCTGAGCATGTCACAAATGGCATACATTAAAATTTCATGCACTTACAGGAAAGCTTCTCTCTAAACAGTATTTCCTACTAATTAACACAAATTTAAGTGGATGAATAATCTTCTCAAACAACAACAAATTAGATCAGAAAAGCAGAAGGTAGGAACAAAGGTTGCAAACAGCAAGCAAGCCATGTGAAGTCACAGCTTAGATTGAGAAATGAGCTATCACAACATAAAAAGTAGATGTGAGACTTCAAAACCTGCAATCTAAAGGCATGCTTTTATTATATGGAGTGTAATGGTAAAGGTCATAACATCGATGCAGAAACATCGGTAAATAAAGTCTGTACAATGGACTCTGAAAATCCAATGATTTATTAGTACTTTTAGCAGAGATTTATATCTCAAGTTATCCCAGAATGCATTATTTCTAGAAGGTTCCATTTTGGCCTTATTGTCAACCCTTTCAATGTACTATATTCCATGGCTTCAAGTTTTCATGACATGTGGAGTCATAGTTTATTCAATATAATGGAAAAAAAAGTGAGATGATGACAGCATGACCATACAACTTAAAAGAACCATGTAGGGCTCAAATATCACTGGGAATCCACATTGTAAAGGAGTCTTACAACATTCTACCTTTGTTACACTAGCAAGAATATCATTTTTGCCCTGGCAAAAAAAAAAAAAAAGATTGAAAAAACCAGATACACACACATATATATAATCAGACTCTAAATAAATCTAATTTAGGAAACCAAAGTGCTATAAACAAATAAAAATATTGGTTATATCCTAGAGCCATAAAAAAGTCTTAGTTAGGTAACAAAAAAAAACCTATATATTGATTATTATATAAGGAAAAAGTACTGGTATACAGGAAAATGAATCATTTCCTACTCTTTAGAATTGTGCTGTTTGGGCTATTTTGTCTAAACATTTTTACACCAGATATTTAGACTAAGAATCCTATGTTTTTCTGGAGCAAATCCAATCCTGGAACAATTATGATCAAAGATAATGTGGAAAACTCACTTCCTCGCGGCCTTTACCAGTGACACATAATTTTATTTCATTTATCAATCTCAAAATATATTTTACTCAATGAAACTTTATTTCTATTGACAATAAAGAACAAAATTAACTCTATATATTAAGACTCATATACCATCTACTTTTTATTTGTTACTTGGAAAGTGACACTTTCAATGTAAGACTTGAGGCAAAAAGCATCCATCCTACTTACAAATCCAGGAATCTCACAGGCTGTCTCCCGGTTGTTCTGTTCTGGGTCACAGTAGATTCGCAACTTTTGGAGATCAAACTAGAATCATAAACCCAGGAGAAGTTTAGTGGTGGTGCAACCTAGCTGATTTATAAGACAACTCCATGTAACATCTACTACAGTAAGTAATTGTTTCAAGTTTAAATCACAGCATTTAGTGAAAACAATAAACTACAAAATTTGAATACCTAGCATAAAATGTAAAGATGTGATACAATATAATGCTGAAGAAAAAATTCCCTAGCAAGAGTAAATCAAAACCAAGAGTAACTCTAATTTCCTTCAGGAATCCAGTGAAGCTCTTTTAGTATCCCTGTATTAGAGCTGTTCTAGAAAGTATTTCCTAGGGCACTTAAATCTTTCCCAGACATTCTGTGTTTTTTCTAAATCTCTACAACATTCCTGATTGTAGAGGGTAGGCTCAGAGGCCATCTTTGCTTTCACATATTCAGTTGCTAGCCTGGAGTGTTGTGTAATGAGTAGGCCTAGCACCTGTTGCTGTTTAAATATTTAGTACAATTTGACATGCAGCATTAATACATGGTGACCATGTGCATAATCACATATTTTAATGTGACAGATTCTACCCTCTATGATAACAAAGCAGGAGAGATATACTTTTTGAAATAAAGAAATGACTGTCTTTAATATACATATTCTCAACCCACACATAGAAACTCACTGTACATTACAGCACTTCTAACAGTTTAATAATTTAAAAAAAAAAAAGCCATCAAATAAAACTTTTTCTTAGGTATGAGCTGAATATAGCAGTCACTTTATTTTTAAGTGGAAGTTTGGTTCATGAAGATCCCTGGCATGCATGAACCTAATTTTATCCCCACAGCTGCATAAAAGTTTTTTATAGCCACCCCCACATACACACTTACAGTTCTAACCATGTCCTCTTTTCCAAAATCATTATCTAATCTATGGTTCTCCTGGGAATTGTGAAATTATTGCTTCATAGGAACTTAGAATGATGCTCTAAACCCAAGGAAACATTTTTCTATGTATTACTATACAATGAAGTCCAACTTTGCATTATCATACACACAGAGAACAATTTCTTGCAGAAATTGGCCACATTTTGAGTTTTTTAAAAGAATTCACAACTAAATTCAATCCATCTAAGTGTGGTAAATACTACAAAAGACAGCAACAGCTTCATTTTATACAACGCAAAAAAAAAAAAAAGATCATTATTTGTCCACCTGAACAGTTTCTTCTTTCCCAGAGTATTTTCCAATTTGGGTTTGTCCGCTGATGAAGATTCCTATAACTGGATGTAAGGGCTTGTTTTCAATTTGCTGATCATCAATATACAGAGTTACATCTTGTTCTGTTACTAAGAGACGGATTTGATGCCAGCCTTCATCAAATAATGTCTAATGGAAGAAAATATAGAAGATTCATAAATAAAATTTCTAAAAGCCTTTCATTTTCTTTGTTCCCATTCTCCTGCTAGCTACCATCTTTGGGAAAACCCACTTGACACAGATTGGCTGTATAATATACTACTCATCTTGACCCAAGCTGTGGCTCAAATGGTACCCAGCAATTCTTTTATTAATCCCTAGTTGAGTTCCTTTCACATATCCCAAAACAGCATCAAGGAACTTACTGAAACAACTTCCTCAAGGTCACAAATGAGCTCCTAATCTCCAAGTCCAGATGGCTTCTCTCATTCCTCATCCTATTTACTTCATTGTATCTTTGGACCCTGTAGCTAGTCCGTCCTCCTTGATATTCTCACTCAACTTCTGTGACTAAATACTCTTGATCATCCACATTTTCTTCTTTTCTAGCCATTCCTTCTCTCTCCATGAGAACTCCTTTTCCTCAACATGCCCTTTAATGAGGGCTTTCTTCTCCAACTCAATGGCAGTGTGTGGGTTTCCTCATAGATCTGTCCTTGACCTTCTTCTCATCATCTCCTTTAGACAATCTCACCCATTCTCAGAATTCAATTATTATATCTATGTAACAATGCCTATATCTCCTGGATTTCTCTCCAATGCATGCTATCTATAATTCTAACACTGACTAGAATATTTTTGTCAGGGATCTCACAATCAGCCTGACAAGTATGTATCAAAATGTACTTGAACTTTTCCCCAAACATTCTTCCTTTCCTTATTGAGGGAAAGTATTTTCTTACTGAGAATAATAGCAACCTCAGAAGGCTGGCAGTTCAAACCCACCAGCCATTCCTTGGAAGGAAGATTGGGCAATCCACTTCCGTAGAGATACCGCCTTGGAAACCCAAGGAGGGGTCGCTATGAGTCAGGGCCGACTCAAGGGCAGTGAGTTTAGTTTATTTTGGTTTATGATTCCTCAATACTGAACCACTTGCTTAAGATGCCCTTATTTCTCTCCATCAAAATCCTATACATCCTTCAAGGTCTAGCGCAAAAACCACCTCTTGTATGAAGACTTCCTCATATTTTGTTAGAATTCATTTTTCCCTCTATGCTCCACTGACACTTTGTATTTCTATTATATAATAGTTGCCTGGAATCTCCCCTTATAAATAAACTCCTTGAGAATGAGAAATAGGCTTATTCATCATTTCATGGAGGATTTAGCACACTGCTTTAAATGAAGATGACAAGCAACAAGTGCTTATTTACATGAATGTGATTACCAAATGCAGAAGTAGCATATAGGCATAATTTTTATATACCATTATTTATATTTCTTGAATTATATATGAATTTATATCACAATTATAATAGTGAAAAATACTTAATTGATTTCATCATTAAATCTGTATTCTGAAGATATGACTTAAAAACTATACATTTATTTTTTTTATTTTATCTATATTTATTAAATTCCTTTTGGGAAGGAAAAAAATGTCCTTGTATTTAACATAAAATTCTGTACCCATTATCAACCTGTATTTAATATTCTGACAAGTACACCTTTTTCTCAATATTCTGTAGGATGTGGCAGTAAAAAAAAAAAAAGACCAAAACTAGATTTCAAGTCCTAATATTATCATTCCCTAGCTGTGTTACTTTGAGGAGGAACATAATACCCTTAACCTTGCTTTCTTTGTCTGAATAGCTTCTTCACTGAGTGGGTATAATAATTATTTTAGTCCCTCCCACTACTTGTCCCCATGTGAATTTGGAAACACATTTCCTCACCTTGTTGCTTTTGTCAGCAAAATAAGAAGTCATCTTTTCAGTCACATTCAAACTGTAGCTGTCTTCCCCCACGCCACATACACACACACATATAAACCCAACAGCATTTTCCATATGAATATTATAACCACACCCAAGAATCTTTACCTTAACTCTAGGATCAGCAAAGATGACCACTTGGGTGTCATTAATTATGCTGGTCGTTGTAAATAATAAGGATTTATCCACACCATTTAAGGTTACTGCTATTTGTGGCCTTCCATCAATGGTTAAAATTCTCCATAAATCCCACATTTTCTTGACCTTAAATCTCTGAGTGGAGACAAATACATATGATGGAGGGAGACCTTCTGGGAAAACGTTGCTAGAAAAAGAAAACATTTGTAAGCTTAAAAAATTCTCAACAGATCTACAGAAATGTCTAAATAATTTAATTAAACAAAAACCCAAATGTTGTACCAACATTACCTTGTGAATTCTGATAAATCAACCTTTGATGTTACTTCATATCCTTTTATTTTTGTTGGTGAGATCTGGATTCTTTTCTTAACCTTTTTCTTTACACCTAAGCCTAAAAGTATATCAAATCCTTTCTCATCACGAGCTGCCACTGGAATTCGTGTTGGACAGACAGATTCTGTAAAGCAGAAGCAATAAAATTTGATTAATCATGGATTACTCCAACAATAATTGGAAAATCAAGGGATAAATAGTGGAAAATATAAGAATTATGGAGCCTATATATGTGCAAAAATGTATGTAAGTGTATATAGACACATTTTCTAAGAAACAATGTGGGAGTATCTTAAGCATTTGGGAACGAGGTTTCAATTTTCTTGTTTTTCTCCCTAAGAGATAAAAATAAAATTAAAAGTATAAGAGGATCATTTGTTAATGGATTGTTTTAAAGATGCTGAAGTTTGTAATATCACTACCTTGAATATGAAGCAATCCAATACCTGGAGGGAGAAGAGGGGAGGGGAATTCTGGAACAGGATTTGTAATTCTCGTTCATGTCCTGGTATTAATAATGTGACCTTGGATAACTCTCTTAAGTTTCTTGGATCTAGGAAATGAGCTCTAGGATTCTTTTCTCACATTCCAGCATTTGAGGAGTAAAAATTATTTGCTGGTTTTGATATTCTTTCAGTTTGTAATTCTACAGCTCAACTATCATCAGTTATATCTCTCTGGCAAAACTTAAATATGCATCTTACCTATACACAGAAATTCTGCACACAAGACTATTATTTTATTTATGACTTTATTACGTATTATATGGATTACATTTTGAAATAGCGCAAGAATTTTCTCTTAAGAAAAATAATTAAATCTTGCATTATTTACCCATCTATATAAATTATAAAACACTACATATATACACATATATATATAACATACATACTTCTCTGTAAAACTAGTATCTCAAATTATGTGGAACATTTTATATGAACAAAATACTATTAACCTGTTATAAAAATGTTGCAATGTTTTTAGATTCTTCCAAGGCCCTCATACAACTTACACATTGAGCATGATTGTTTTATACAGCAGTTAACGAAATAAAATACAAGCACTCTACTAAATGTACCTTAGTATAATAACCTTCTTACATAAACATTAAGGAATAAGAAAGGTATTATACTTACAATACAGTAACTAGTAATGAGATTAATTTGATTAACCCAGCACATGCAGTCTAACTTGTACCACAGAATACTATCGGCAAAAGATATGTTTGATTGGGCAATCTACTTCCATAGAGATACCCCTCAGAAACCCAAGGAGGGATTGCTATGACTCAGAAATGACTCAACAGCAGTGAGTTTAGTTTTTTGGTTTTATAAATAAAATTAAAGGCAGGAGAAGTACTCTTCTCTGAAGCTCTGAAGATGTAGCATTCTGAAGAGGCTGAACAATTACATCTTTTTTTTCTTCAGAAGTGTGGAGCTAAATGAGAGGGAGGTGTAGGAATCAGGAAAATGGAAACTGTGGGTTAGATGTATGTATTCTTAATACCACGGGCCATAATTGACCCACCCTCCCAACTACTCACGGCTAAGTCACTCCATGTCCCCACAAGACCCAGGCCTGCCTGCTAAGCTCATGTATGGTCTAAAGAGGCCAAAAACAAACCCACTCCACACAGACAAGAAAGCAGATGGCACTTTGCCAACTATGTCCAGCTATTTCTATCACACTCCCTAATCAGAAAACATACTTCTCTTTCAGGGTAAAGAATGAAAAGACGGTGGGGAGAAAGAATAGAAATATTTGTCCAGCTGAAGTCCTTTCACATGAAAACATGAAGAGCAGGGAATAAGTGTTTCCCAGTAACACTCCATAATAAAGTATAAATCCATAAATAAATGAATAAGATGAAATCCTCACTATTCCTACAATGCAGTGTGAAAAAACAAAAAAGTACTTAGAAGGTTCTGTGAAGACCCACTTCAAAGACATTTGACTTAAAAGTGCAGAAGAGAGAAGTTCAACTTAAATGTATTATTACTTCATAAGAATATTCAGATTTCAGTTGTCCCTTTGATTTGCTTTACAAAAAATAAATTGTAAGACGTTGGATGGAAAGCTCAGACTTTAAGACTTGAGCCTCTCTTAACCAATCATGGACCTCTGGATCCCCAACTATGCAAGGAGAAGAAAGATCTCCTTCTCTGGGTTTATATGAGGACCAAATGGGAAGATTTATGTGAAAGTGCATTGTAACTATAAGATGGCATGCAAGTACAGAAGATAAAGCAAGTATTTTGCCTCTTCCTCTCTATAATAAAATCCCTTAAACTGCATACAAACCCCTAAGCTATTATAGGAAATAGTTTGGCACAATTTGTGAAATCGGGATTATAAATTAATAGTCACAAAATAGCTATGCTTTACTCACTATCCATCACATCTCATTAGGAAAAAAATGTCTTCAATCATATTTCCTTGAAGAAATAATTCTTCTCCATTTGTTCACCTACAAGCCTATCAATTAGATATTATTCCATATGGGAAGTGAAAAGAAAAAAGTAGTTAAAATTCTCAAATACAGTTTACATGTTCACATAGACCTAGCTATGAGAAGGGGTCAAAGAAAGTTTCTATATATAAAATGCCAATTTTCATAACAACTTTTGCATAGTCAATTTTTGAACCAAGCTTTGGAAGAAATAGAGATAAGTAATTCACTCCCCAATTGTGTTTAATAAATAGATGTATAATTATGCAATCACATCCAGGGAGAGGGGTGAAAACTGGACATACAGGCTAAATGAGGAATAATATATATTCTCAGTGCCTTCTCAAATTCTTCTTTATTTATCAAGAAAAAGTCACACAGATAAGAATACAAAGAAAACCACTCTCTTCTTTCTTTGACATTATAATTTTAAGTACTGTTAAAATCAGATGCTAAGATAGACTCCATCTTACTGTTACATAAGTTGAAGGAGTACATTCTGGAGGAAGGACTAAAAAGCACAGATCTAAATTCACAAATGTTTGTGATTGTTTGTGATTGGGAATACACAATTATAATTCATTTTAGTATATTTGGAGAGTATTCATAGCAGAAATGCTTCTGGGATGACCAGAGGTCACCCTGTTTATTTATTTATTTTTAATTGTGCTTTGAGTGCAAATTTACATAGCAAAATTTATTTTACATTCAAGAGTTCATGTATATTTGGTTTCACTCCTTGATTACCATCCCCAACCCTAACCCACTCTCCTCCCCTCCTCTCTGTTCCCTTCTTAACTATGCACTCCTGTCTATCCAGCTTCCCCTCCATGTGAATGCTGCCCCTCTGGTGCCCATGGCTGATTGCTACAAGGGGTGTATCTCCATAGAGTATGTGGGTGCATTGCCCTGGGTTGGGTGTCCTGCGTGTAAGTCTTTCTACTGTTGGGCTGAGAGCCAGTCCTTGGGAGTGAGTACTATGCCATGCCTTTAGTGTATCCCAGGGCCATAGTCTTGGGGGTCCTACCAGTCTCCATCCAACCAGTAATTCTGGTCATTATTGTGTTTTTGAATTTTGTTTCATGTTTTTCCTCCCACTCTATCCAGGATCTCCAGTTTTAATCCCTTCCTGAGTGGTTGGCATTGGTAGCCAGGCACCATCTAGTTCTTCTGGTGGTAGAAGTCTCACCCTGTTTATTTTAAACATGGGGATCCAAGAATATTTGCTTTTCAGTTAACTCTGAGGGCTCAAGGGTATAAGTCTTATCAGGATCACAAGAAATATCTTTTATTTGAAATCTTGCCATGGAGAAGGACACAACACTTAGGTACATCTGGAGCTGAGGCAGACATGTGCTCAGCAAACCTTTCTAGTTCCAGGTTAATATCACAGGGAAAGTGATGCACTCATGAATACCAAAACATACTAGCTTAGTTTGACTGTCTATGCCATCCAATTTCTACATTGCCAGATTGTTTGTATGTCACCCCTCCCTGGAAGTCACATTTTTATTGAGCATTAGGGGGTTTTATCAATGTAGCTTGGTGTCAGAGACCAAAAATTGTTTTACTAATCCAGAACTTGAGAGTCCAATAAAATAGAGTTGTCTATGATGTCAAAGGAGCTCTAGTGGTGTAGTGCCTCAGGCATTTGACCACTGACCAGAAGGATGGAAGTTCAAACCCACCAGGCACTCCATGGAAGGAAGCCCCACCTCGGAAACACAAAGGGAGCCGCTATGAGTCAGAATCAACTTGATGGCAGTGAGTTTGGTCTGGGTATGATGTCTCCGATACAACTCATATCTCTGCAGGTCAAATTTCTCAAACATTCTTGATAGAACATGAATTTAATGTACACGTGCCTTTGATACATATTTGCTTCCTCAAAGTCTAGCATATCATCATGCATTTTAATATCATGTACAAATTCATTAAAAAAGAGTCATAGGCACCATTGCTTCAATTTTATGAAAATAAAACTGTGATATCTAGACCACATTGTACCATGTTCAAAACACAATAAAACAGCAATAGCAAAGCCAAAATAAATTATCTAAGTTTAGATAATAAATTATCTAAATTATCCAAAATAAATTATCCTCTTACCAGAGATTAGGCAAACAACAAAGAAGGCAACCCCAACTTCACACATTTTTTCCCTCATTATAAACTGAATGATCTCATCTCCCTCAATTAGTAAGTAATCCCATTGCCTTGAAATTTAGATTGACTTCAAGGCAAGGGTCCCTCATCTAAGGAAGATTTCTGCCAGATGCATGGCTGGCAGACAATAAAGCATAGCAAGCATAGATTTTTATAACATTCCTTTCTGAGCTAAATCAATGGAAACTTTGTCTGCTTAGGAGATAAAGCAACAGGCTCCAACTAGCCTGCAGAACACTCTGCGCACATGCCAGAAAAGTCAAAACCATTTGCACTCAGAAACAGACTCATTGATCACATCTTATTATATTGTTCAAAAACAAGAGGAAAATACATAAATGAATTTCATTTTTAGCTTAGAAAATATTTAAGAAAAAAATTAATATTTATAGAATAAGAACTTCACCTATGTGGATTTTGTCATTTTGGTTGACATCAGCTTTTTGTTTTAAAATTATTCATTAGACACGACAAAATTTAAAGAAGTTCCTCTTTTCTTTATTTGAATA